CCACTACAGGTCTGGCAGCCTTGGCTGAGGCGAGATCTCACCGCCTTAGAGATATCCTAAAGTCGGGCAACCTAGAATGTCCAAGGTTTGTATAAGTTGTCGTTTAAACGAAGGTTTCAAGTGCTCGGGGTCTTCAGCGGACAACATCGGCGATTAGTTGGGGACCCTATTTTGACTGACCCCAACCACACGTGCCACAGTTTACTAGTGCTCAGCCACAACAGCATTTTGTTAGGCCACCAACTCAAGCAGGCAGGGCAGTACAGTCGTTTGGAATGCCGTCGGAATTTCTTTTCCGCACGTGCTTGCAGAACGTAGAATGCCTTACTGGAAGCTGTCATATGTGCTCCCAGCTGGCAGAGTTTAAAGCCAGAGTTGACCACGCACTCATTTCGCTGCTCCTCCTCATTGACCATGGCAAAAACCAGTGCCCGATAAAGATTTCATTAACGGTCAGATCTCAGAATACTTTGCACTTTCTTCACCTCCTCTATGTGTTCACCTGGAGGTGGCAATGCTTTCTACAAACCTCCCATTTGTTAACATTCCTTTTGGACTCACCGTCAACTTACAGTTTACAATACCTACGTTGCGATGAGTCTATCGGTGTGAACATACTTTTGTGGACAATATTGGTTAGTACTAATGAGTAGGAGGAATTTTTTGATTTTAATCTCAATGTTTTCGTTCCAGTTGCTCACAAGTTACCCAGCACAGCCTAGTCCGGAAAAGCACCAGACCCGTTTCGTCCTATTGGGGTTGGTCAGTGGTGCGCAATCCGTCGGTCCTCTACTGGGGATCGAACCCCGGTAATATAAAGTGTAGCATCTACTAGTTGCAAATGCTATGGACGTGGCGTCTAGTGAGAGTAAGTCATGACCTTCGGAGGCTAGCACCCTTATCTGCTAAGGTATTGGAAGATAGGTAGTGCTATATCCCAGTTAGCTTGCAAATTGTGTAGCCCAGACGATGTCCCCATGACTCAGTGGCTTAAGCTGTTGGCTAGTTGACATCTGCCTCTGGCGGTCATGAGTTCGATTCCCAGTAGGGGACCGCGGGAATGCGCACCACTGACGAGCCCCAATAGGGCGAAACACGTCTGGTGCTCCTCCGGGCTAGGCTGTGTTATATAGCTTGTGAGCAGCTGGGACGAAGACATTACAGTTTGGTCGATATTTTGAATCTCTACCGTGATCATCTTACGGTGTTTGTAAAGCTTTAGTTGTTAGCCGTATAAAACATTGTCCCGTTGTTGCATAAAAGAGGAGGTGCAACATTGTTAACTAAATAAGTATATAGTTTATTCTCCAATTTAACACACTCTATTTCGAACTTGGTACCAGTCGAGCAGATGGCCGCTACATGATACGTGTCATGAATCTGTACATTTTGTTTAATTTTTCCAAGATAGTGCTGGACTGCATAATTTTCATACCGTTTATGCTTCACTAAATTCATTTGAAGTTCAACTTACCACCTCCACACTGTCTTTATGGTCGCGCTAGTGGCAATTGAATGTCGCATGCACGTATTCAGGACAGAAGGTTCCCGGTGCACACCTGCCCATAAGTTAGGGGCACACAAGAAATCTAAACTACCCCCATTGCCTACCATCACTCAGCATGCGCACTGGTTAGTGTAACGTAAACTAATGAAATAGTCATAAATAGCGAGAAACGCTCACAGTCATGCGATGCGCGGATGCACGTCCGCAGACAGATCCACACCAGCAGAATAGATGCGCATGCTTAAAAAAGTAGACCACAAGTGCGATGACAGGTACACGATAACTCTTTCACAACCTAAAGAGTGTCAATCAGAATTGATTAATGTTTACTTTGTAAGCGCGGTTCTAGCCGTACATACCTTGGCCACGGACACGGTTGCCCCAATGACATGTGATTTATCTTTTACCATAAACAGGCGTTTATGGCTTTTCTCGCAATCTGCACCGTAATTATCGATGTTCTCCCCAAAGCTCGGGGCACGTACAAACATAAGCGTACGCAGTCAGGCCACCACTGCAGATCTGGGGAAACACTAGACGGCCGTTTCGTTCTTTTTGGACTAGAACCCAGAGGCCTCGGTGACGCACAAGAGAGCGGAGGATGAGTCACGTGTCATATCGCGGTTAGCTGTTAGGCAACCGCAGCCGCTACCTAGTAGTCGTAACTATTAACTAGAGAGGGGAGGCTCCTGGGCTCCAGCTCTTCATCGAGCAGGGAGAATTCACATCATTACTAGGGCCCGAGGCGGTGAAATGGCAGTCTTTTGCTTTCCAGCTGTACAGTGGCAGTTTAACTGAGCGTAGCTGTGCTTCATCTACACCAAAATGCAATAAATCTTCTCTTCACGGCTTTCCCAAAAACCGGTGCACATTTAGACGTCACAGGACAGTTCCACTAGTAAAAGTTGTATGCACTCCAGTGCTAGAAGAAACCACTATACGAAGGGCCAAATGGGAGAACTTGCATCGCGTTCCTCAGGTGACCAGCGGGTCCTCCATTTAGTTAGCTTTAAATCAAATGTTGGTTGCTTCCACACGCTGACAGTCAGCACCCAGGATTCCAGACTGCTCCACGCAGTGCATCCAGGCTAGCAGCTCGGTTAACAGAAATGTGGCGTAATGTGTTGTCGGCGCGGCGTTACGCCTCTGATTTGGGGAAGAGGTGAGCAGAGGCGTGAAATAAGCTTTCGGAAGTCAGTACTGTGCGCCCAGTGTAAATAGAGTGTTCGTGATTATCAGGTAATGAGTGGCGCAAAGTGAGAACAGCCGATCTCCGTTTCCATTGACTAAGTCAATACCGTGAGATCCGATTATGTGTGTCCAAACAGCAACATCCCGCCCATCGCGCAATTTGATATCACTCAGTAGGAATATTCGATCGCTCTTCGGCACGCGCGGTATCATGGAGGACAGCAGAGACTGAAACTCATTTTTCATTTCATCAGGATTAATAAGAATTGCAAAGTCACTGCTTCTGTAGTGTAGTAGAAGTCCCAACTACCTTGGACAGATGTCAGTCGGCTCTTCCGTCAGTTGGCCATTTAAGCGATTGGGTAGTGCATATCTAGAGAGGCGCCATCAACACGTCATTCCGCCGTACCGACGTTTTGCAGCCGCACAACCACTGCCAGTAGCGTATGGGCTAAGGATACTGCGATGATCTCGTGATCCAATACGCGGGCTCGAACCCACGAACTCCGAGTTGCACTTTCGTCTAGTTCTGAGACGGCCTTTCTCAGTTAGTAGAAAGTATATCCAGTACCGCCCTCGTGCAACTTACAATGATCAGCCTTCCGAACCTCACTGAACATTGCGACCACAGGGCATCAGCTTTCGAATTCCATAATGACCAGTGCATTGCGTCGCTCAGGACGCTCACTCGCATTCCCGTCTATTAATATTCGCACGTTCCAGTATCCGATTTTGAGCCATTTCTGTGAAGGCATACGACTGCACCGAACAATCGGTCGAGCCGTGGGTTTATCTAGGTCTTGTGGTTCACGCAGGTATGGCGAGTCAGGGAAAGTTAAAGCTGGAAGAGGAAAAGTAAACAAGTACAGATGCACCAACGGTGGTATGGTTTTTCTTATCCACCCCACTGTAGGCAGAAAATAAGCACACCCGCTGCGCGACGACCGACGCAGAAGCAAATTGTTTGTAGATGTGTCATCTATTGTTTATGATGGAACTAATACACTGGCAACGCGTCCAAACTTGAACTGGGGGACGCCTCGTGTTTTGGCAAAAGCCCACGATAAAATATTAGACCTAAAGGCAACAGGAAATGCGCGATAAGCCAATGAACTTGCACGAATGTGTCTTACTTCCTAGTTAAAAAGCGTATAACTCAGCTCTCCCAAGATGTCGCCACGAGGAGGCTTCCGGGACAAAACCTTGACATGTCCAGAGCGGCGGGTACTTTAGCTGTCAGGATCTCACCACCAGTAGCCTAAGCGACCCATAACCTCCCCCGCCATATGTGTACTAATTATCTTTACAGTGTGTATATAAAAGATATTTGTTTAGCAGAAAGCATGTTGATCACTGGAATATTACTTGGCCGTATTCTGTTGTACCACTGCCGCTGCCTTCCTCTATCTGGCACAACAGTCCTGACGAAAAAAACACAAGTCAAGATCCTACTGACCGGCCATACATTCACGGCCGAAAACGATTATACTTATGGATCAGTATATGTTCTCTGTATGGATGTCTATGCTTTTTAATCATGTCCGACGATGTCATCTGGCTGCTTATACTGTAGGTGTCCACCAGTTGTACCATATTTCACCGTCTGCGCACGAGTTCAGCTGGATGCCTGCTACATTGTCGAGGGTTTAGCGTGGCCAGCCACAGATCTACCGCCTTGTGCTACCCATTGGAGCATCGGAAACCCGTGTGTAGATACCCATTCAGTGCGGCCACTGAATCAACTCACATAATATTTTGCTAAACTAGCTAGTTGGAGTGATTAAGGGTTTGTATAGTGATAATTTGTTTCGCATCTTACTGAAGCCCTTAATGCCCAAGTACTTGTGACACATGGTTCATTCATATGTAGTTTGTCTGCTGGCATCAACTTTACAAAAGCAGTGTCAATAAGCAGTCAATTCACAGGAATGGACTGGCAACGTTGCTCGGCATGTCGGCATCAGCCCCATTACCTTCAATGCATGCACCGAATTCATATGCTCCCAAATACTTTATTTCATTTAGATACCGTTCATTTGCAGTCTTAAAGTCTGCGCATCCTACTTACAGCAGCCAACATGGTGTGCGACCGTAGTCCTGTTACCACATTAGAAATATTCTTTCTTCAACTTGGGATTACGCGTTGTGACATGCACGCACAGCGTTAGTACAACCAGCGAAAACCATGGTCATAATATGGGTAAATAATATAACTGCTAACTGTGTGCAATACCAAAAAGACCTGAGTCTGTAGTTGTGATTTTATTCATGAAATTAATGAGAATTCTCGGTTCCCTTTCAGGGTATTTAACGAACCTAAAACAAGCCAACCTACAGGGACGGAATGGTGGACGAGTGAACTTACCCGAACCATAAATTGTGTGAGTTCTAACGGTAAATTCTGAGCTAGCCCACCTACTTTGGCTTCCAAGTATTTACGATAATTTCGTATCTACAAATGCACATCGGAAAATTTTTAATTCCTGAAAATAACTTAGATCGAAGTTCTTTCTCCACATCATAGCCGCCTGTCACTGCTTCCATCTGTGCTGGACCCACTTGTGGCAATGGACAAGTTTCTCTCCAAGCCGCTAGTTTGGTACTTGACAAAATCAACTGCACCCCATGGATTTTCACATTCATCGTGAGATGACAGCAATCGACTGCTTGCCAGTACTGACAAAAATATAATCAACTCTGTTTCTTGTCATAATATATGAGGAAAGGGTCTTTGCCACTGAGTGAATCCAGGTTATCAAGCCCTCATCCATGCAAAATACGCACCTGACATTAAAGCTTCAGTAGGAATCTTTTTAGTCGATTGTCGAAAGCCGAAATCCGTGAACTCTACCGAGCACATTCTGTAATTCTATTACCTGAATAGATAAATTCTGAGCACTCGACCCTCAATCTCAAATAATCAGCCAGCGCCCTAACATCAGTCAACTCTACCACTCCGGCCAATCCTTGATATGACTTATTTGGGTATTTGTAAGGTTCTGACGAACTCTTTCGGCTTATAGCATCGAATTTGCCACTACACCCCTTGAAATAAATCCATGCGTACTTCAGCAGCTCAACCTATGCAACTAATTCGAAACAGAATGTAATAAGTTCAGGAATCCAATCGACAGTGCGGCGGCGTTATCCCTCTAGAGTACAGCTCACCCGCATATTGTCCTATCACACGTGGCAAAAAGGATTGAGTGGGTTCAGACTGTGACCAACAGCCTCCTTCCCATTTTAGGAGGTACACCATACAAAGACGGGTGTAAGTGACTTTGACCTCACATGCCATCTTGTCATCGATTGCTAATTGACCTCATCATAACGAACCGGATGTTGCACCTTGACGATTACCCCATGTTGAGACCGCTGCTCTATATGTTCACACCAATCAGCAAGCGAGGACACCGGACAAGCTTGCTGTGCCGGATTTGAAGCAGGTCGTCTACCAACTATGTTCCATACGGAGAGTGGTGTATGCATGGAAAAATCTACCGCAGCACGTAAATGAAACAAAGCCGGTGTCGGAATTCCAAAATCCCTGGACTAACACATTATCTCAAACGTCCTCCAACATACCAGTTATTTGCACATGTCATCTGTGATGCAGCTACACACAGATATCTCTACTTGCAGCTTCCAACCAATATCCGATTTTACCTAGGATAAGGGAAATTGCAAAGCTGCTTCCTCTGAGAGAAGCGGTGAGGTAAAATAGATTCTTTTCCGGGGACTATAGACGAGATAGACAAACTGTTAAAAGAACAGCCTTCTTTTTCACACTTATTGTGGTTAGCCCTCCGATGTCTGGTTATTGGCTAGCCTCGTGGTAATTACTTCAAAAAATGTATACATAATTCCTATTGAAGCCAGGGTTACCTTATTAATGAACTGTGAATCAGTGGGATTATCGACAAGTGGGATACGTTAATCTCTGCGGGAACGCGGACTCTGTTGATGTTGAAGAGAACAACGCACAACCACAGGCCTTTTCCAGGCACTTAGCTTACGTTCTTTCGTGCGTTCCCTCCCCCCACCTGTCCCACCGTGTAAAATTTAGTGTGTGCACTGAAGTGTGCGAACACAGCACAGAAGAGAAATAATGTAACTTCCGTAATGACGGTTACCAGCTTACGTAGATCTCGTATCATATACTTTCACCGATTTGGAATGAAAGACAGTGTTATCAGACATCGACTACCCGTGCTGTTTAAATGTCTAACACAGATCCTATGCAATGTATGGTTTAAAAGCTACGTAGCACATTTGTTATACTCTAAAACTATATGTTATAGTTGAAACGCATTGGCCAGTAGTCACTCTCTTTCAAAATCATATCCTACAATCACATCTCCCGCACCATAAATAGTTTGTCATGTTTTACACTCCACCGTGATCGGCCAAGGTACCGGAAAACCCACCACCTTCATTTCTGTGAAAACCTCCGCTGAAAGTAGTTAAATTTAGGGGACTTATTTTTCAGCCAGTGTAGGTACACATCACTGGTTAATCGCTGTGACGCGAATATCAAGTAGATCAACATAGATGTAAACAGATGAGTTTGTTTTACCCCACCGAAAAGCAAATCAAATGGAGATTTAACCCGCAGTCTATAAGTTCTCTTATTTGTGATCGAAATTTTTGGAAGTGACGTAAATAGCGAAAACTTTTCCTTCCGGTCAGCACTGATATGATTTTCCGATATATAATTCTCGTACTCTTTGTTCCAGATGTCGAGCCGGATAAATATACAGCGTAATGTTTCCTGAGTGCAGAGTGAAAGTCGACAGAATGGAAATATGCATAACAATTTGCGCAGTCGATATAAAACTGTAGGATTAGATTGTAGGTATTTGTGTCATCTTCGAGTTTGATAGTTGTGAGACCCAACGAGTGCACGACCGTGATGCAGCCTTGATGGGTACAAAAATGTTGGCAATAAAACTGCTAGTTTGGATGCGCAGGTTTTATTGAACATCCAGTCCGACCTAAAATTATTTCTACCTATTTCGATCTTTGCTACTAGTTTCATGCGAAAACTGTCTATTTAACCATTTCCATTACGCTTCGTACTTTAGCTGTCTGGTACAGGCCATTCTTGTTCTGTTCTGAACTGTTCCCATTCAACACCACGCGTTCCCAGGAAGGCCGTAACGCTTTGGTTCAGCTATTTCACGGTCATTGCCCCAAACACAATCTTGTGAAGTAGTGAGATGGAGTTCAACAAAAACGATTTGCTCCAGCTTTACTTCCTCCCTAAACTGCTAAGCTAGACCTCAGCGGTAATTGAATAACACAAACAAGCAACTAGATGAAGTTCGTTCTCTAGATTGCAACTGGGTAGTGAAGTCCTTCGAAAGAAAATTGATAATCCTAGGAAAGCTATCAGTACAGATGAGGGTCTCCGATTCTGTCCATATTAGTTGAGGTGATAGCGGTTTATACTGAATTAACCTAAAGCAACACCTAATGCCTTGAAACAATGCTCTGCTAAGCTGTACCTGTTGTCTTAATAGCGCGCGACATATCTTATACGAGGTGAGGACTAAATTTGAAAAATAGTCAGTTATAGGTTATAACGAGGATAGTTAATTCCTCATACGCCAAGAGGATGCAAGACTGAATAACTAACTTATAGCATAGGGACACTTCGGTTCGTATCCTGGTCCATATTACCGGATCAGATGTGCTAGAAAATTCCAAGGTACACCGAGGAAAGCCAATATAGCAACGGACATATTTAGACAGTAAAACACTACCTCGGCTATGTACTAACATATTTAAAGGCTGGGAAAACTGACGTCGAAAGGTACTCTTATATTGTTCCCCTTTGAATGGCATCGTGGTGAACATAGCAGTCAATCTGTTAAGTGAGAAGGAGAGTGTTGCTGGTTGCGTGCATTTCGCATTTTCTTCGCAGTGTCATTACTACTAACGAACATGGAGGTACGTACCTAACTGTGAGGGTGACCAGGTGAGTTTGAGTCGCAAAGTGAATGATGAAAGTTCAGCTCCTACAAAGACATGTCATTACGCTTCCGAGCTAGTTTTGTCACGCCAAATCCGAAGGCTAATGCGTTATAGCAACCCGAACGAACCATACTATCCGATCGTCACCTTTTGCATGTTTTTTCCGTTATAATGCTAGTAGCAAGTGTCTTAGTCGAACTGACAGACAGCTGGTTGCAAGTATCTCAGAGTTGATTCCGCTTAACACAATCCCATGCGACCCTAAATCATTCGCTGCCTCGATTTCTCTGCAACTCACACTTTGGTCAATTGACACGTTCTGGCGATTGGGCGGTTGAAATTCTGTTTGTGCAACCATGCAGATCTAACGACCAGTCTCGCCCTGGTTTTGGAGGGATTGGCTACCAAACCCCCGAAATGAAATGCAGGCGAGTTACATGTCCTTTGGCCGTCTCGGATTCACCAATATTATTGCACGACGATTGTTGATTTATACAACTCAGTCATTCCACACATTGTTTGTAAGCAGCTGCGGTGAACATGTGCAGCAACTGAATTCAGCTTCTTCTGTTTAAATGTGGGTCATTTTCCATTTTGAAAGCTGTGAGAGGAAGAGCTTGCGCACAGATATTAATCAACACGATATCAAATTGATGTTTAACGGACATTTCTTAACTTGGTCTCATCTGGCTGGTTCTGTCATACCATGTGTAGCTGACCCTCTTTAAACTCTTTCTATCGTCTTTGCTTGTCTGCACTGTTATCAACAAGCTCAAACTCTTTGTGTGCCCTGGACCGCTTTGTTGATATTCCACTACGAGCCCCTAACTCCCTTTGCTATGGTTGATGTCGACTACCTGAACATTTGCCTGGACATTTGCCATGAAAACTGAGTCCTTTTAGTAGTTCATTTGATGCACCAGAAATTCCACCAGTAACGCACTGCAAACGACTATTTTACCGATAAAGTCGACGTTATTCCGCATTTAAGCATTCATTTTCTGCAGGCAACGGTAAGCTAGCGCCGAAATGCAATGCTAATTCAAAACTAGCGGAAAGAACGAATGGGTAGAGGACTGACTACTGTTGGTGCAAGATTCATAATCTGAAGAATGACCAGTAAAACACCGTCAAGTCGACTGATTAATCAAGCAAGGAGTTACTAGCCGCACAACGTCTTAGCTTCTGTAGCTTGCCTCACCTACGTGTAACCCACTCACTCGATACACATTCAGCGATGGATCCGGAGTCTCCAAGTGCAGTGAATGACGTGAATAAACAACGTGTGAGGCACTGTGGCAACAACTAGTCATTGCCCGTTGTTAACTTAGCTGGACACTTCTAACTAAAAATCGGCCAGCTCTTTTTCCGCCACACCATTTCTGTGAGTTCCACTTTGTGATACATGTTTCTGTTCCGGGAACAATAGGGTATCATGTGCTGCAGATAGGTTTCAAGTAGGCATTAGCACCTACGGTGTTGAAAGATACGGGACTACTCTACGGTGTCTGCGCACGTCACGGGAAATTAGGAAAGCTCAGGTTTGCTGCATGTCAGCTTACCACACCTAAAAACCCTAGATTGTAGTACATGCATGCGTACAACATGAACACAAGGCATATGTAAACTGCATCGGGTGTCTTTACGAATGATTATTTCAACAACCAATCACCATAGGATGGCTGAATAATATGTTGCAAGTAAGTTTTTGCAGGTGTTCCCCTTTCTTGTGCTAATTCGTGATCATAACTATGAGCTCATTTGGAGGATTTTATACTTAGAGACCATCGTATATGGATTTGGTTCCTGTTGCCTTTGTTGTTTTAGCAATCATTTACTCGAGGTCTTACGTTACACTGTTTCATTGGAATCCCTTTGTAGCTAAGCAAAGAATGCTTAGACCGACTGACGAGATTGGAAAGTGAAAATAACGAACTTCGAAAGCAGTACCAAACCCTGGAAGCTCAGGTTAGTTGACCTCATACACCAAGATCTTCCGAGTTCCAGATGCACATGTGCAATACACATAACTGGCTTGAAGAACAGCCTTTTGTTAAAATGTCCTGTTTGGGATTTAGTGCCATTCAGCTGTGTGTTTAAGGAAAACAGTAGCGTAAGATTTGTATAATAGCCAAGCTTTCAGATTAAGCTTGACTAATAAACGCATGCTGAGCTGAGAGTCCAAAGCTACAAAGGTTACTCCTAAGACACTGTGACCAGTCGGGTTTAACGATGAAGTTCCCAGTAAAGCTGGATTTCCGTTTTTTCTTCAAATGGTTACATTACGATCTTGTTTGTAAGGAGTTCGAAGTTTACTTACGATCCGTTTGCTTTGTTGTATTGTTGCAATAATCGACTAAAAGGGTTGAAATTGGTTGATACCGGATGCGGTAGCAGCTATCCCTTACACTGCCTAGCGGATTGTCTTCTTGAATTAGTAAGGAAAACTATAGAGTACACCGTTTATTGTGTTATCTTATCAAAACACGCCCTCAAGAGACTTGCATGTTGTTTTAAATCAATAGCCCTGACGGTCACCCAGTCAGGACGAGATGAATGAAGTGTAGTCAACAGCACAACTGTTGAATACCTTCTTGAACCACCACAGTATTTCATGATACAGTTGGACTCGATGCAAATATGAGGGACGTAGAGAACAGTAACAGCATTTGGCAGCACCTGACCACCAGAACGCTTTGAGGGCTAAACTTCATGCTCCCGTATTTTCCCTATTATACGATGGATTGAACTATTTCAACCCGAGTAAGCCGTAGAGCTTTGTCCACGGCAAAATAAATCCAGGTATAATGTGTACGACACTAGAGGAAAGCTTATCGACCTTAAGAGACAGTAGTTTCATTTTAGTGTAACTGCAACACAGTATTGTTACTACGCGAATATAAGGTTCCATTACTATTTAAGTAAATGAACTTCTTGAATAAAATGGTACTGGAAGGTTTACACACCTTCTGCAAACTATTTGTCCGTGAAAGATTTAGATCGCAGCGAGAGGGTCTCAGAAATCTTGGTTGCATTTTCTTGTAAACATTCTTAGCCATCTTGCTGTTGTGTTTAGCATGACACCAAATGGTGGAATTGATGTTCATTTTATTTTCTTTCTAACTTGGCACCGCATGAACCTATCTCAACTAACACTTTAATCGGTGCAACACAAAAGAATGGATCCCGCTTTCTTTGTGAGTATTGCTCTGTGACAGGTTTCCATCCAGGTAGGTAAAAGTGCCCAGTTGCCAACACTTCGAGTCACTTACGTTAAACTACCGAATCAAAGCAGTTGCACAGTTAAGCGAGGAGGCATTTGGAGACACGCATTATGTGATCCGATCACGACAGTGTTACTTTGAAGCGAAATGCAACCAGTCCGGTCAATTGGACCACAGCTGAAGTAGATCGATGGTGGGTTTTATTCACTCGTAGCACTGAGATTCATAATCAGTCGCATCTCCGCTTACACTCGGCACGCAGAGATAACGAAACTGCGACTCGAAGCAGGATCGCTAGGATGACAGCCGAGGCCTCTAAGCCCATGTCGTCGAGTCGCAACGAGCAACAGTTATCACAGCGGTTAAAAGGTAGTCGCATTGAAGCTCCCTTTTGTGTATGGCTTGCCACACGCAATCCCAACCTGGACAAAAAGGTGTTTTGTAGTAATTCTCACCCAGTCTGGCCAATGGGACCGTATCTGAAACACATAGGTATTGGGCACGCAACCGGACATGCGGTCAGTGTTTCGAGCGGACTACACGGGGTTTTATCAGTTGCTGACTTTGTTCATTTTCTTCACTTCCGGCAGTTACTGTCACGTTGCCCTTCTGATGAACTCACAATTGTATAACAAACTGTGGAATGGGGCACGGAGATACAGCGTCTCGTGTTTGCAGGTTGGATGCCAATACCGAGATGGACGGGCAGTTTAACGACCACTGCTGTACAACCATGTTAATTCTCCAACGCATTTCAAGACAAGAAACAAACTGGCAACCTTGGACCTCACTGTCAATAAGTAGAAAGTCATGGTTGACGCATCAGCAATGAGCACACCTCTGGGCAGCAGTGGTTAATCAACATTTATCCGCTACATGGGCTAATGCGAACATCTTAAATAAGGCAATGTAGAATCTCACATTGTAACTAATTATGATTACCTGTCTGAACTCATTGACGCAACTAGCTTTTCGTTCTTGGTAGAATGGTCACCTGCGGTGGAGTGGTTTTAGTGTCAACAGATTCAACTGGGTAGTGGCGCGCATACCAGAAACGAATATGCACCACTTTCAAAAGAGGCAAACCTTCCTAAAATACATAAAGGACACCTAGAGTCTACATAGAACACAAAGGAACGACTACCTCAAACTCATATTGGTGGACGGAGTAACGTACAAACATAACCTTGTGATAAGATGTGGTTAAAACCCTATGGCAGCTTACACACATGTGAACAAACTTCGTAGAGTTAAGTACAAAATTTCTGCTTAGCGCAGTAAAGACAGAAGAGGCGGATAACGTTAGTTGGCAACAGTTCAGCCATGCTTCCAAAAGCGCGCCGTCATCTGACACTTTTCTTACTCGGGTCACATAGTCATCAAAGCAAGGTCACATTTTGTTCACTGCAACAGATGTGCTGAAGCGGCTGAGGTACTTGCGCGAACACAGCTTTCTTGCTACAGACTACATTCGCCTAGAAGCGTTGACGGTGGTTGCTAGGAGTTTGGTTGAACCAAGTTCCCACGGTGTGGGACTAAAGGATCGTCACTCATATCTAAAAGAGCCGTAGACGTGCAGCTCCTGTGAATTATCAGCCGATAGTACTAATTTGAATGATTTGCAAGATCGCGAAGTCCATACCTGCTGAGACACTAATAGCGTACCTGGAGATAGCAAAGCGCCCGCTTTGAAGCAGCACGGATTTCCCCAGATCCGGTCATACCCTATGAACCTGCGGACTTTCCATACTTTCTGGACGGCATCTCTCTTGACCGTGACAGGGACACATGCCGTCTAGCTAACTTTCTCCAAGGCATTTAGTCAGCTGGATCATCGCATTCTATTTCACAAATTTAGTAATAATGAAGTTGGCGACCTTATTCCTCTTGGAACAGGTAAGTTGCTCGTTCAAACCTATCTGAATTTACGGGTTCGCAGCGCTTTTTCGGACCTAATCGAAATCTAGTACATCATATATTTAGGCTCAGTACTTAGATCACGCTTGTTTCTGTTCATCATAGACGATCACGTGAGCGTGTCTTATTTAGGTTTCCTACCTTACTCTGATGATCCAAATATAAATAAAATCTTATACTATTACTGCAATGGAAGTCTACACGGCACTGATCTTGATGGAGCTTACATGTGGTCAAACACGAACATAAGTCAGCTAAACACGGGAAAAGGTAAGGTTTCGAGCATACACCTTCGAAGCCCTCCCGACTATCGGCTAGGGCCAAAAATACTGTAACACGCTTCTCATGAGAATGATCTTACCGTGCTCGTGTCAGATGAACTTGGCTGTTTGAGTTAGACCGAAAAAAAACATCAAATAAAAGAGATAAACAATTCGGCCTCCTACGTGGAGTATTTGAAATGTTCGCCGTCTCCATCTTTCTACAGATGCTTGATGTGTATGTGAGACCTTACGTGGAATGCGATATATAAGCTTGGCAGCTTTAGCAAGGGCACTGATTCACCACGCTCCAGACAACATAACGAAGGGTGACAAACATCGTCAAAGGTTTGTCCCACACCCCTTTCCAAATTAGGATGAACACCAGACGTGACGGGCGTCTAAGGGCCGATCCGGTAACGGTGTGGTGGATCTTAAAAAGTCCCAACAACACTTTTACTATCTAATGAAACAACCAAAAGACAGCTCTGACGGGCAATGAGCTTAAGATAACCACGCTGTATCCCCTAGAATGTCGACGAAACGTTTGCTCCCTAAGAGTGTCACGGCCACTTTACTCCCTCTCAGAGCGAGTAATTAATTCCCCCCAACCTATCACTACTAAAAAGACAACTTGCCGACAAACAGACACATATACACTACGTGACGCAGCTTGCGTCCACCAAATGACAAAATAAATGTAAATCAAAAAATGGACTGCGTCAATATTCCATTACCCCTGGGTAAGAATACTCACTTAAATGCTACTGCAAACCTCTTGGTCAGTCCTGTATATTCCGATTGTAATTTTCACTGTAATCTTCCTACTGTACCTTTCAAGCGTTTAGGACTTTACCTGTTATAAACCGTTGCTGTTTTGCTCCCAAAAAAAGATTCGCATGTCTTTGAATTACTAAGAAGTTTTTTGGTCGTGTGGATGAGCATCCGTGAGTGAAAAAGCGAAACACATCTGATAGTTCTGAACGCACCTTGGTACACTGATGAGAGTGTGGACGGAAAATGTCCCCCTCAACGCATGCCTAGTTCAGTGACTTATGGCACAATGTTGCCCCAGAATCGGGCAAGTCGTGCCTGTTGTCCTGTCGGGCAGTACACATGCGCAGTCTATTTAGCATGCGAAACATGAATGATGCATTAGGCGTGAGTGACTCACTACACACGAACGCTCGGTAGTTCGTGTTAACTAAAATTCTAGAACTCCATTATTTAGTCAGTGTGATAACCCCCGTTTAAGCGGGTGCAGTTGTTTTACTCAGCTGCTGAAAAGTCACATGCGCATGAACTATTGATTGGCGGCTTCCGTATCCGGATTTGCCTGTCACTGTGGCCTCCATGGGGATAGCCACAAGAAGTGTGCGTCTACAGAAGGACTGCGGGTGGCTTGCGCTGCATCACCCACAGTTCCATTCACACACCTCATATGCGGTGTAAACATGAAGGAATAACACCGGTAGGCATGAAATATACATCCATTCATAGATAGGGATGATGACGTATGTTGATGAGAAACGAAGATGGGGAACGGTTTTGAGTGGAAAATGCAACC